GGCAAAGTCTCGGCCCAGCAGGAGGGGGTCAGTGCGCTGCGAGGCAGCTGCGCCGGCTGCACACAGTGAATAACCTGCTGCTCTGCTCCGGCCCCGGGCGACGCGGTGCTCCCGCCTCCCGGGGTAACGGGGCCGGGGGAGCCGCAGCCGGGAGCCAGCCTGGAAGCGCTCCTGGTAGCGCTGCTGGGGAACATCCCAGTACGGAAATGCTGCCCGCGGGTGTCACTGACACTCGCCTTCCCTGCACATGGGATAAAGTAAAAACTGAGAATTCTGCAGGTGTCAAATAAAACCCCCAAAATACACAGGGGTTGATCATTAAAAGAGGAAAGGACACGCCACATCTTCAACCTCAGTTAAAAAATTATGCATGCAGGAATGAAGGGCTAGAGATCATCCTCGTGGAAACAAGCGGAGGCAACTACGTTTGGGAAAGCCAGGGGGAAGCAGAGGGAAGGGGTTTGGGCAGCTGGCTGTGCCGGGCTGCTGCGGTGCTGGGCATGGTCTGCGGGTCAGGCTGCCCGGTGCAGGCTGTGCAGACCCTCACCGCTGCAGCGTGTTTCATTTGCTCTCCACCCCATGCAGAGGTTTGGGGCTTTGGTGGTAACACAGAAGTTTGTTGGAGATCTAGCGGCTATCAGGTCTGCATTCGAAACAAACATTTAGCAGCAAAGAACAGCAGTCGACTTGTATTTCCCGTGTCTTAACTAATAAGTCCTAAATTGTATTAAAACTTATATATTAATCCCACTTTACAATTGATGGTCTTTATGTAAAAATCACTAGAGGCCACAGCTGAATAGTTACTTTTTTCAAGTTTTTTGTTGTTTAATTTTCTAGGAGAAAATTACTGTTTGAACTATTTGTTAGTTGTAATTAAATCACGGAAGTTACCGCATCTTCGGTCGCATCAGTCAGTGTTACAAGAGTTTTAAATCCTATCGTGTCTCATTAGGGTCATTAGGGTCATACCCTCATTAGGGTATTGTCTTGACTGCTGTGGTGCGTGGCACAGCCTCATTTAAGCAGTCACATACAAATCAAACATGCAGCTTTGCCACCATTCCTGCCCGGCCTTTCTGTTCTCTTGTTTCAGCTATCACTAACCAAAGGACCATTTAATTTGGCTGTTTTCTATTCAGCTTAAATGGAAGTTCTTGCCATAGGTAACAGCCTTCTCCAGGGTAGATCTCTGGCAACTAATAACACTTTACAGCAGAATAATGGAAGTAGAGGCAGTTAAGAATCAGGTTTGATTCTCCCAAATCCCCCTAAACATTCAAAGGAGCTTTCTGTCACCAAATTGCATGGGCTTTCTTACTGTGTTGTGACTTAGAGTCTTAAGATGAATTCTTGCTTCAGTGTTAAATTCAAGGAGCTGAATCCTGTATCACTACAGTTCTTATGCCTTGAGCCCCAGAAGGGGGGGAGGGAATTAGCTCTGTAGGGGAGCTCACTGTGCTCAGCTAGAGACAGTGACAGGAGAAAGAGGGGAACATGCAGCCAAATAAGAACTGGCACTTTTTAATGTTCCTCTGTGGGGATGCTCTTCATGGCCTGAGCCTTCTATGGTCTGGACTCCAGTTTTTTTTCAAACGAGGAATCCAGTTATGGAAAATGTTTATGTCTAGGAGAGCCTGGAGAGCTCAGAGGCTGGTAACTGCAGCCAAAGTTTGTAGCATGGGAATCGGGGAAGAAGGATGAGGGTAGGAAGCCAGCTCTTCAAACAGGAAAACCTCCCTAATGAACTGTGGCTTTTTTGGCCAGAGTGTTAAAAAACAAATATTTTGTTGAAGAAGCTAAGTAACTGTGTGTTAGTCTTCCTCTCAAACCTTCACAAAGTGGAAATAAAGCTATGCATGGTTTACTTATTCAAAATGAGAATCTTGTTAAATTATTTGGAAACTGCAAAATAATCCACTATGTAGGAGTGCCTGAGTGAGTCTGTTAAGACAGACACAGAGCCTTGATCATACAAGAAGTGTTACCAGTTTGCCTTGGCAACGCTTACTAGTTGTTTTGGTATTTGCTGCCAAGTATGTGTCTACTCCTGCAAAGTGCTGAGGCCTTCGCAAAATGCTGGAAAGTGAAGACTGAACCTTTCAGAGTCTGTGAGTTGTTACAGAGCGTTGATCACTTAAACCTCAGTTACTGGATAAAGGAAATCTGTCAAGCTTCCTGGCTTTAAGTGACCTCTGTTAGCTCTCACTAAAGGGCAATTACATGGCCCCTTGAAAGGTCAAGCCCGTATGTGCATTTGGGTGGGATGCTCTTGGGCCTTTTTCTGTAAACAGCAGTATTTTTTTGCCACAGCTTACCTGGGATACAATGGGGGAAATGTCAATTAGTTTTGGAAAATGGTAAACGAAATTATCCTTCAATGATGTCATAGAGGGCTTGGCTGAACTATAAGTGAAGAGAGGAATTGCTCCCTAACCATCCACAAGTTTTTGTAGACTCTGTTTAGGGTCTGCAAATCAGGTTAGATTTGCCTTGTTAGCAATGGTACTAGCACGCAACTACATTTTATTTGAATTTAAATCCACACACCAAAATTCGTGTTCTTTTCTCCCATTGAGATTGTAATGGAAAAAACCATTTACAAATAGTACAGCTATCAAAGGCACATCATGGACTTTTAGGTTGGTTGTTTGCAATTCATCAGCATGGTCACATCTGTGACCACACATCTGAAACACATCCTTTGATTCCCACATTTCTTAAGGAAAGTAATTATCCAAGGCTGTTGTTCCATCACTTGCAGTATGTGTGAAATGTACTATATATTAGTTTTGACGTAAAAGAGTGACTTGAATCATAAGCTTTATTAGGTTGTACTTCTTTCAAACTTAAGAAGAAATACTACATTTTCATTTCAGTGAAAAAAAATCTTTCCCGCATCCTCAATTGTATGTGCTACCTCATGCTTCAAATGGCCAGATACACTTATGAAGAATGACATCCACTTACTAATTTTCAGCTTGAAGACATGTATGCTGATTTATTACTCTGCAAAGAATTAGCTGGCTTGCTGATGCTTATGTCTCTTATACACTATGCAGAGCTGATAGATGTTCTTAGCACAACTCAGCAAGTAGATGTACCTATTACTGTGAACCGCCATTGCAGTCAGAAAATTGTTTAAAAGTTTACACAAAAACTCAAAATGGCCCATTGGAAAACTAAAGTAATAGCCTCAACATTTATTACTGTCTATTCTATTTGCTGTCACTAATAGTCTCAGCGGTCTGTTTCAAATAAAGCATCATTTTCATCAAACATGCAGATAAGAACACACTTCAGTGTAATTGATGCAAACATCCATTCAGAATTTTTCAGATGTGACTGTTTATTTTCCCCACCACTTATCCAATATCTCTTTGTATTAACCCAGCAATTATCTCCCCAGCATAAATCACACCTAACAAACACCCTGCTGTCACAGAAAACACTTGGGCTGTAGCAGTGTCTTGGACTTCCTTTTTCGCTGCAACATGCGGTTTGAGATTTGTCTCATAACAGCACGCCTCTGGTGGTTCACTACTAAACAGGCTTGACTGTGTTTTTCTCCTGATATGCAACATATGTATGCTCCAGAGCCATGTGCAAATGATAGCTTTCACATTGCAACAAATAAAGTACATTTGTAGAAACATCAGTACTTAGGGGAAGGCATGAGTCACTCGGATCACATCCAGCATTGTAGACAAATGCTCCTCTTGCACCTTCTTGGTGGGATTGTTCCCACCATTGGGATGCCGTAGTGGGAACTCATTGAGCTGTGTGTTTTGGATGAGTAGCACCACTTGTCACAGTTTCAGCTAACCATAGTGAATTGTATTGAACTTCATGCTGGAAATGAGAAGGAATCCTATGGCAGTCTTCTGCATTCCTTCAGTATTCAGGGATAAACAGTGTTTTAGCTTTGCTGTAGAATACGTTTTTGTTGGAAAGTACCAACTAAGCTTGTTCTCATATAGGAAGCCAACCCCTTCCCCTCCCAAAATAACATTTAACAATGCACTAAGCTCTAACTAACAAATCCAGCCCTACTAAACACATTTCTTGTTGCTTGCCATGGACATGACAGCATTCCCTCAATGCCTAGGCTTGCTGGGCTATTTCTGTGCTCTCTAGCGTTTACTTAATATTTTCTATGCATTTTTTAATAATTCCATATAGAATGGCAGGTAAATTGTTTGAGGCATAGATCTCAACATGTATGTAACTGGCTTGGTATACTTTTATTAATTTTATACAGTAATGGAAGTGGTGGAATTGCTGAGGAGCAGGAGAATATGTGTGGAGAATAGCCATGGGAAAAGAAAAAGTGCCTCCTCTATCTGTAAAGAAGTAGATAAAACAATATGAGACCAGCTAAGGGCTGGGCCTTGCTGTGAGCAGCACTTGTGAGTGTTGACAAAAATCAGAACACTGTTTATTGTGTGTTTGGTGTGTGATTCACTACATCCTGGGAACCCAAGGTCTGTGTATGTGCCAAGGAGCAAGTGTGTACATCCTGGGAACCCAAGGTCTGTGTATGTGGCAAGGAGCAAGTGTCAGTGCTGTTTACATTCTCTGTACCATGATTGCTTATTCTCAGTTTCCACTGTAAAAGTATATAAGTGAGCATTTTTCTCATAATAAACAAATCCATTGCTTCTCACCCTGGAGTTCGTGTCTTAACCACCACAAATATGTGAGTAGTTTTTATCCGGTCATCTTAAGAAAAAGTGCTGCAGTATGTGCTGGTTTGCCTGCTATACATTTCCAAGAGGATGTACAGCCTGCTGTTAGTTCTGCAGCCTACTGGCCTGGGCAGATTATTGTTCATATGTGGAGTCTGCAGACCTGTAGAAGTATTAAAAGAAAAGGCAGAGAGTATTTTGCTCTACAGAAGATACTTGGGATTTTTAATAAAAATAACAGATGTGCAAATTTGGACAACAAACAATCTATTTTCCTAAAAGTATAAATGCTTAAATGAGTGCCAACAGGGGGATTTGTCAATAAAATGGAAGGAGAAATCTGACTTCTGAAGCTTCCAGTGTGTGGTTCAGTGGAGTTCCCTGTTGCCCTGGCCTCCCTCCTTGTGATCTCAGAGGAAGTTGGGGAGCAGGAAT